CGCGTGCTGCGCGAGCGCTGTGCGCGAGCGCGATGCGCGTGCTTGCGCCTGTGAGGGGCGTGGATGTGCCGTGCGAGCGTGCGCGCGTGGGCTCGTGACACACGCGCGAGAGCGCTCGTTTTATTCGTGTGTGTTGTTGGTGATTTCGTTGCGTGTGGGCGTTTGTGCGCGTGCGGGTGTTGCGAGCTAGTGCGCGGCGGTTGCGGCGAGCACGCGTGCTGCTTGTGCGCGCGCGTCGGCAGAGCGTTGCGCGCTTGTGCGCACTGTGCGCGGTGGGCGCTTGTGTGGGCGCTTTCGTTGGCGCTGTTGTGCGCGTGTGCGCTATGGGCGTGATGTGGGCGCTTGTTGGGCGCGTGGGCGCGTGGGCGCCTGTGCGCGTGGGCGCATGGGCGCGTGGGCGCGTGGGGGCGCAGGCGCGCGGGCATGCGTGCGGGCGTGCGTGGGTGCGTGGGTGAGTGGGTGGGTGCGTCGGCGCGTGGGTGTGTGGGTGTGCGGGTGCGTGTGTGGGTGTGTGGGTGCGTGGGTGCGTGGGTGCGTGGGTGCGTGGGTGTGTGTGTGGGTCTGTGGGTGTGTGTGTGTGTGTGGGTGTGTGTGTGGGTGTGTGGGCGTGCGGGTATGTGGGTGGGTGTGTGGGTGTGTGGCTGTGTAGGTGTGTGGGTGTGTGGGTGTGCGGGTGTGTGTGTGTGTGGATGTGTAAGTGCGCGTGCGTGTCTGGGTGTGTGGGTGTGTGGATATGTGGGTGTGATGGTGTGTGGCACTTGCATGTGCGCGCAAGTGCACTTGTGCGTGTGTGGGTGCGGGGGTGTGGGTGTGGGTGTGGGTGTGTGTGTGTGTGCCTGCCTGCATGTGGGTGTGGATGTGGCTGTGGCTGCGAGTGTGCGTGCGTGTGAGTCTGCACGCGTGAGCGCGTGTGCGTGTCTGCGCGCGTGCGTGCATGCGGGAATGTGCTGCGTGCGTGCGTGCGTGCATGCGGGGGTGTGGTGTGGGTGCGGGTATGCATGCGAGCGCGCGCGAGCGCGTGCGTGCGTGCCTGCCCGCGCGCGCGCGTGGGAATGTGTGTGTGTGTGCTCGCGGCAGGGGTGCGTGTTTTCGTGCGTGGCGTCGGAATGTCTTGTCCCTGCCCCTTCCCAATCCCGCCTCCCCCTTGGGGGCGTCGAATTGAGGCTTCTTCTCGCCCTGGTCAGGTGCCAATCCGCAGAAAACGAACTGCCCAGTTCTCTGGGCCGAATTGCTGAGACCTGTCTAAACTTCGCAGGGTTGAGGACCGTCTCCTCCCGCACCACGGTCTGTTGATCATGGCACATGTGCTTCTCACAAATCATAAAAAAGCGCCTCCAAGATCTGCGAGAATGTTGCTGGTCTGGGTGTGAGGGTCCAAGTCATCAAACAAATCAAGTCAACCGGGCTTGTAGAATGATAGTCTCACTGGCAGAACACATGCTTCCCATTCTGCAGGATTCGAGAAGGTTTGAGGCTGCCACAAACTACGGCAGCTGTTGCCGTCGTGTTTGGGGTCTGCTAAAACTGTGTGGTTGAGCTGTGCGATTGCAGTCTGATGTCGCCAATGCTGTTCCTATTGTAGATTGCGGAGCCTCTTTGGAGGACTTGCAACTGCCCAATGTCACGCCAGCTGGGGGAAACAAGCAAGCACCTCTTTTCCAAAGCACTCTCAATGTCAGAACAGTGACGTATTTCTGCTTGACCATATGAAAATAAGGCTTCAAACGCAAATGGTGTTCTAATTGCCCTCTGTCACGAGAAAGAGCAAGTACACCCAGTCGTAGTGACACGCTTTCGGCTTTTTGCAATCAACACAATTTTTAACGCCATTCGAAAAGTAAACGCATACCTCGTCTCCCAGCCGCACGCCATCGCACCCTTTGTCAGCCTCCCCCTAGCTGGTGGATTGGATTGGTGGTTTGGTAGTTCATGTGTGGGTTCCCATTTACCCGCTACAAACGCCAAGGGTTCAGTTCCCCAAGCCTCCAATCCACCAATTCTGGGTGCCTGACTTTGAGTGACACCCTTGCGGCCCTTGCCTTGGCATCTGCCTTGGACTTCCTGGCTGCCCGGGCTTCAGCTGCAGGGGGAAGCTCATCTGGCTCATTGGTCAACGCCTGGCGCGACGCAGTCACAGGCTGTGCGTGTGCATTTGTCAAAAGAAAAGACCGCCCTCCATCGGTGCGGGGCAAGTCCCTCCTGCTTGAAGCTGACTCTTCTGGCGCAACCAAAACACAGCACCTTTTACAGGTTCCGAACTAGGCTTGGGGGACTGAGGTTGGGAGCAGTGACAGCTCTGCCCTTTGTCGCGCTCAAATCGAGCACAGGCACACGGGAAAGGGAAAAGGCAAAAAAAACTTCTGCTGGAAAAGTTTGCAGCCTATCCTGGTCATGGGAACTGACAAAGACCAACAAAGAGAGAAATCATGAGAAATCTATTCTAAACCGATTCCAAACCCTTCGTCCAGTTTCGCAGGCATTTGCAGGGTGTTCCGGTGTTCTGGGCGCCTTCTGAACCTTCTTGCCCACAAAGGCGCAGGCGTCGATAATAAGTCAGACCATCGTCAAGTCCTATCCTCTGTAGACTTTTCCTGGTCCCCTATGCTTCACTTCAAAGCAGCTTGGGCCAACAAGGCTTCCCTGCCAGCTCAGTTGTCGCATCCAAATGACCGGCAGCAAGGCAACTGATTTGAACGAACATGACTGCCACATGATATGTATGTTAATCACGTATCTCGAGCGCCCCACTGACGTTCGCAGCGGCACCTCCTTGGTGAAATTTCTGTACAAGTCCGGGCCCCAACATGCAATCTCTGAGCACTACTGCAGCTCAACTATCCTTGCCTCTGCTGACTCCGTAGCTTGCTCCGGGTCAAGAAGGGAAGAGTTTTCCTGCCGCCAGTCGCGGTGGATAGTTGCACCGAAAAAGCAGTTGCACCCTCACAACCAGGCCGGCCAGGCAAGGCGGCAAGGAAGCGCAGCTTTGGGCCTCCGCCCACTACTGGCTGCATGTGATTGATTCAGATTGGAGAAAGACTAGATGGAACAGCTGCCCTTGCGGACAGTCTGGTTGCTGTCTGCCAGATGCCTCTAGAAAGACAACTCCCAGCCTTTGGCAAGCTCAGGTCAGAGAAACACACCTGCCGCAGCGTTGTAGCCCGGACCAATCACTGTCTAACAAAGTGAGGTTATTTTCCTTGTTCCGCGTTTTGTTGCTCGCACGCCTGCATTGGCAAAATCAGTCAGCTTCATGGATGCACCGTATCGACCACACATAAAAACAACGCATATCATGCAGGCTCGTGAAACGCATGATCGCTCAAGTCTGCACAAACAAATGTTTCCATGTTCGCCCTTCCTATAGGCTGAGATGTTGGCCCAGCAACCGCGTTCATGCGTGTTTGAAGGCATGTGCAAAAGATGCAGCTGTTTGTTCCATGCAAGAGCTGGATAAGCAACGCTCAAATCTGGCAACAAGCTGTAAGCAAACGTAACTTGCCCATGGGTACTCGTGTAAAAGTGCCTTGGACTCCACCCAATGGATCCGAAGACAAAAAGATCCAAGACAACCAGGTGAACCTGAGTCGCCAATTGGACCTGTGTCTGCCCATCTCAGGACAGTTTGCCCCGAAGGTGTTGCAATGATACCGCAACAAGGCTCCTAGCATGACACTTAAATGCTTGCCTCATTTCAGTGTGTCGCATACGTCCACGTGCAAGCTGATCGCGCAAGCGTGTGCTTTGGTATGATTGTGGTTCGAACCAAGCGCAGATTTGAACAAGTGCCAGCTGCTAATGTGATTGCCGACCCTAGCCTGGCCCAGCTGCTCACATGACAGGACTTCGCAAGGAGCTGGTCCACCGTCAAGGACCTGCAAACAACTCGTCCAAAACCACATGCACTGGCAAGTCACAGAGGACTCGCTGTGGCGATCACGCCTGGGCCGCTCTCGGTCAAGTTAAAGCCGTTGAAGCTCAGCTTCTCCTCACTCATATTTACCATGAGGTTATCAGCATGAGTCATGCGGCCTTGCGCTGCCTAAGTGTGAACCCCTCTCCTCAGTCACTATACGAACGTAGCAGCCCAGATACCGGGCCACAGGCTCACCAGGTAACTCTCGCCATTGTTCACCTGCTCCAAGCGTGTGAGCCTCTTCATTGAAGAATGGCTCACAGCCACACATGCCAATGCCAACTGATGGAAATCCAGGCGGTTGAAGCTACGCCCTCAGTCAAAGCGCAAACATTCTGAGCCAATGCGTGCAAGTGGCCAAGCATGGCTTGGAACGTGTCTCGCTGCATCTGCAAAAAATTGGCTGCAGGTGCGATATACAAGGACGCAAACAGCATGATCACCAAAACGCGCACGTGATGTGAATATCAAGATGCGTGACAGCACCCAAATATCCTGATGAATGATCCTTCCATAGCGGGCTGAAACTCACAGATGACAATCTGGGTAGCGTTAGATGGCTGCACAGGGTCCCAGATTTGCACAAACGGTTGCGAGGTCAGAAAGAACAACCAGCATCGCAGCATGTCTAGCGCACTATTCGCTCTTCACTATCTCGACGGGTCGACAGGTTGATGACAGAGGTTCATGACCTCTACCTTCGAATTGTTTGCGGCCCGCCCAGGACGCCGTGGAAGCAATGACACGGTCAAGAACCAGTCCACTTAGATTGCAAAGAGACTGCTGTTTCATGACACATCTCCTCGAACCAGTAAAGACTTGGAGCAATCGGCAAGGAATAGCTTCTGCACTCACCTCACTTGAGTGTTATCAGTACTTGTTTCAGGTAATTCCATGTGTCATGGCTTCTGAGTCGGATTCTGTGAGTTCCTCAAGCTTCCATGGCCTAGCCTGCGGGTAGCCTGCGTCCCCCGAAGGCATGAGGGCAAACTGCAAGACCGTCGCTTTCGAAGGCTTCCGTACAACTAACTCCCACTTCGGCATCGGCATCGCCATGTCCAGTCGAAGTCCACAAGGACCTCCGGGCTCACAGCCAAGGATCCTCGTACTCCTTGGCCAGGTCCTGAATGCCCAGCCCGTTGGCAACGCTTGGCCCTTCAAATGCACACTTGGCCTAAAACATGTCTGTATACATACATTAGATCTCATTGCGTTACAATACAAATCATTAAGTCTGCACTACATGACAATACCTTACATTCATTACTTTACTTCACACTACATTACACTACATCACATTACTTTAATTTACGTTACACTGCATCACATTACATTACTTTACACTACATAACATTGCATTACTAACATGTACACTGCAGTACATTACAGTTCATTACATTCCATTTCAGTACATTGCATTACATTACATCATATTACATTACATTACATTACATTGCGTTGGAGTACATTACTTTAAACTGCATTACATTACATGACATCACATTACAATCATGACATAACATGACATAACATTCAATTGCGTTGCCTTGCATTGCATTGCATTGCATTGCGTACATTGCATACAACATATGTTTGTATGTGTACATATATATATATATATACACACATGTCAGAATATATGTATATTTGCGTGTCTGTGGAGACTGCGGAGCGAGAGTTGCTCCACATGAGTGACAATCACCACCTGGCATTGAAGTGGTCTACCCAAAAACGTGTGAAGGATCAAGAGGGCGTCCGCCGCACCTATTTATGATTGCAACTGTCCCCTCCTAGCCTTATTTACCCAGGTTTGACTATGGCTCAACTGTCCGCTGAGAAGAACTTGCTATCTGATCTGTAGTTTGAAGAAAATTCACATTGCACCTCCAGACCAAAACATAGCTTCCGAAAAGATGATCTTCCAACCAACAAAGAAATGCCTACGCTAACACAAGCTGAAGAGCGCGAGATATATTATGGGCTTGCCTTGGACTCTTCATGCTCATCGTCAGTCATGGAGTAGACGTGATGGTCATCCCTGCAAAGCTGGCACGCAAAACGGCGACGCTGCACGCTTGTCCAAGACTAAGGGAAGCACGCTCATATAGCTATTGCAACCTACAATAACTGATGCCATCCGGATGCATCTGAGGTTCCACTGTAATAAGGAAGAATCAAGCATGCCACGAGCTTCTGCATGGACACCATTCTGGATCGGATCTTGTGACGCTGTCTTTGGAATGTGTTGCCGCAACGCACGGACCAACACACAAAGGGCCCTCTTAGTCACTGTTTATTCAGCTTCTGTCATTGAACGGTGGCAGGTGGTGCAACATCCAGAATGCAAAGGTTCGTTCTCACCTAGGAGCGGGTGAACTGTCTGCAGGAGACGTGCTGCTCGCATTGGTGAATCACCTCTTATCCCTCATACACAGCTGGGTGAGGCATCGCAACAAGCATCCCACAGCATGCATGGGCCGCACATCCATGTAGCCAGCTGAAGAAAACGCTCTCAGCGTCGAAATCCACAAGACTTCCCTCCTGGTCTGAATCAGTTCAAACCTCAAGCAAAGAAGAGGGGGGGTGGGTATGCATCCGACCCCGTCATTCTGGCCACTCGCCCGGCCTCTCCGCTTGCCTTGCCTTCACTTTGGGCTCCAGGTCGATGAACGCCTCACGCAAAAACTTGATCATGTTCAGCAACAATATGATGGACGCCTCCTCCGTGGAACCAGCAAATGTCCAAGATCAAGAGTACAAGTACTTAGGCACACATATTGGCCAAATCTTAGTGATAACACCCCGATGCTGCTGCACGTTCCGATTCAAACGCCGGCTTTCTGCAGCTGTGAAACAAAAAGCTCAAGGCTGCAATTGCAACCCTAACGTTCGCAGAGTTCCATCGGCCTGCCCTAACGTTCGCAGAGTTCCTTCGGCCTGCTAATGTACCATTCTTCTCTACAGGCCACTGTAGGGTAATGCTTAAAAATGAAAGGCAAAGATCTTCCGCTTGGCTTAGGCACACATCCAAAAAGGGGCAATGACTTTCAGAAGGCTACCGCAACAATTGCAAAGGGAACTCACGATATCACAGGACTGTTTCTAGGGACCATGCGCACCGAACTCTCTCTCTCTCTCTCTCTCTGATCAACGGGTCCAACAGATCAAGATATGTCAGGTCTCGACGTGTGATCTCTGAGCACTACTACCTGACAACAGCAGCTCAACTATCCTGTGCCTCTGCTGACTCCGTAGCTTTCTCCGGGTCAAGAAGGGAAGAATTGTCCTGTCGCCATTCCCGTGGATGGTTGCACCAACAAAGAGTCGCACCCTCACAACCAGGCAGGCCAAGGCAAGGCGGCAACGCGCATATTGGATCCGCCGGCCTCCCGTCCTATCCCGGGTACTACTGGCTGCATGTGATCAGATTGGAGGAAGACCAGATGGAACATGCCTTGAAAGACGATTCCCAGCCTTCGGCAAGCTCAGGCCAGAGAAACACACCTCCCGCAGCGGTCAGACCCCTCACTTTCTAACAAACTCAAGGGTTCAAGGGCCTTTTCCTTCTTCCGAGGTTTGTTGTTCGCGCGCCTGCGTTGGCAAATCGGTCAGCTTCAAGGATTCACCGAATCGACCACGCATGAAAGCAACGCGTGTCATGCAAATTATTGAAATGCAGGATTGCTCTACGGGATCAAAAAGAAATTATCGACACCCGGATCAAAAACAAATTATTTACAGGATCAAAAACAAATTATCTCGCCTTGGGGTGCCAAAACGCTGTAATTTACATCATTCTCGGGCAACAGCGCGCGCATTTTACGGCTCCAGCTGTAAAATAGACACTTTCCAATACAAGCGCAGTACGCGAAGGTCACTTTGGCAGCTCCAGTTGGAAAATCACAACTTTTCAGATACAAGCGCAGTTCTATCAACGAATCTAGCATCGGTTAAATGCCTGTAGGGTTGGCTTAAGGTTGTGTAGGGTTAATGTAGGTTGGGTTTCGAGTGGGTTTGAGGTGGGTTCAGGCTTGGTTTAGGGACGGTTTAGGGTTTGTTTACGGTGGGGGGATTTAGGTTGGTTTAGGGTAGGTTTAGGTTGGGTTTAGCGTTGGTGTGCGGGTTTAGGGTGGGTTTAGGGTTGCTTTAGGGTGGGTTTAGGGGTGGCTTAGGATTGGCCTGGGAATGGTTTAGGGTTGGGTTAAGGGATGGTTTAGGCTAAGTTTACGGGTAATGGTAGGGTAGGGTTAGGGCAGGTTTAGGGTTGGTTTAGATTTGGTTTAGGCTGGGTTTAGGGTTGGCTTAAGGTTGTGTAGGGTTGGTTTCAATTTTGGTTTAGGGAGGGTTTGGGGTTGGCTTAGGTTGGTTTAGGGTTGGTTTAGGTTGGGTTAGGGTGGTTCTAGGTTGGCTTCGGGTAGGTTTAGGGTGGGTTTAGGGTGGGTTTAGGGTTGGTTTGCGGGTTTAGGGTGGGTTTAGGGTTGGTTTAGGGTTTAGGGTCAGTTGAAGGTCAGTAGGGTTGGTTTAGGGTGGGTTTAGGGTTGGATGAGGTTTGGTTAGGGTTGCTTTAGGGTTGGTTTAGGGATGGTTTAGGCTGGGCTAAGGCTTGGTTTACGGTGGGTTTAGGTTTGGTTTGGGGCTTGAAAGTTGTTTAGGGTTTTTAGGGATAATTTAGGGTAGGTCTGTTTAGTGTAGTTTTCGGGTGGGCTTAGGCTGGGTTTAGTGCCGGTTTACGTGGCTTAGGGTTGGTTTAGGGTTGGGTTAAGGGATGGTTTAGGCTAAGTTTACGGTGGTTTGGGGTAAGTGTAGGGTAGGGTTAGGGCAGGTTTAGGGTTGGTTTAGGGTTGGTTTAGGCTGGGTTTAGGGTTGGCTTAAGGTTGTGTAGGGTTGGTTTCAAGGTTGGTTTAGGGTTAATTTTGGTTGGGTTTCGGGTGGGTTTGGGGTTTCGGGTGGGTTTGGGGTTGGTTTAGGATTGGTTTAGGGTGGGTTTAGGTTTAGTTTAGGGTCTGTTTAGGGTGGGTTTAGGGTGGGTTTAGGGAGGGTTTTGGGTTTGTTTGCGGTGGGTGGATTTTGGTTGGTTTAGGGTAGGTTTAGGTTGGGTTTAGGGTGGTTTTAGGTTGGCTTAGGGTAGGTTTAGGGTAGGTTTAGGGTGGGTTTAGGATTGGTTTAGGGTTGGTTTAGGGCGGGTTTAGGGTTGGTTTAAAAGTTGCGCAGGGTCGGTTTTAAGGTTGGTTTGTAGGTTGGTGTTGGGGTGGTTTAGGGTGGGTGTAGTTTGGTTTAGGGTCGGTTTCGGGTAGGAGAGCAGGCCAGGAGACCAGCAGACCAGGAGACCAAGAGACCAGGAGACCAGGAGACCAGGAGACCAGGAGACCAGGAGACCAAGGACCAGGAGACAAGACACAGGAGACCAAGGACCAGGAGACCAGGAGACCAGGAGAGCAGGGGACCGGCAGACCAGCAAAAAGCAGGAGAAGGAAATCAGCAGACCAGGAGACCAGGAGACCAGGAGACCAGGAGACCAGGAGACCAGGAGACCAGGCGACCAGGAAACACGGGGACCAGGACACCAGAAGACCAGGGACCAGGACCAGCAGGAGACATGGGGACCAGGAGACCAAGGACCAGGAGACCAGGAGACCAGGAGAGCAGGGGACCGGAGACTAGGTCTCAATAATTTGTTTTTGATCCCCTAAATATGTTTTTGTTGATCCCCCAAATAATTATTTGTTGATGCTCATCCCTTCAGCTGAGATGTTTGCCCTGCTTCCGCGTTCATGCGCTTTTTGAAGGCTCGGAATAATCATTCAGAGGGCAACTGCCAGCGACTTCCAAGCCCATGGTGGTCTGAATGCTTGCTGCCCTGTCGAGCCTGCCTCAAGGTCAAGACTTTGGGACAGGTTGTACGAAAAGGATCTTCCGTGAATACACATAGAGTGCCAATTGTCCAAATAGGTGCCATCCACTGTGACTGATACCTTCATATCGCAGCAAACTGACAGTCTGCCCGAAGCCATGAGAAGCCCATTCTCATTCTTTCAGAGAAAGCATACAGCATGTGCATAGGTCATGTGCAAGAAAAGATGCGTTTGTTTGTTCCATGCTATCCCATGACCGCCAGGGCTGTGAATGCCCAAGTAGATGATCGAATGTGCTGCTCCAAGAAAGCTCTAAGAGCTGGGTAAGATTCAAAGTCTTCTGATCGGCAGTGGGGAGGCTGAAACCAAGTTCAAATCAGGCAACTGGTCGCTGCCAAACGCATCTCCGAGTATCTTAAAGCGCCTTGGCGCAGCAAGCCAAGACAAAGGCTCTAATGTCATGACGGGCTCCGCGGGCCGGTTCGATTTGGCTCTGCCTATCTCAGGACAGCTTGCCTGAAAGTGTTGCACAATGCCGCTCCACTTCAAACGATGACCAGCGTTACGCTCAAATGCTTGCCTCATCTCCAACGTCCAAATGCAAGCTGGTCGTGCGCAAGCGTGAAGTGCTTCCCTCGCAAATTTGGAATGTCTGCATCGCGGTGCTTCGAATCTAGCGCAGGCTTTGAACAAGTGCCGGTAAATCTGGCCCCATTATCCACCTTGGACAAGGTCAAAAATAGAAGACCCATGAAATCAATGACAAGCTCACGTTTGCCTTGTGGATGTCACAGTACTTGCCGGCTCCTGCCTCTGAAGAGGGCGGCCGGCAAACAAAGCAGTCGAAGCCCTGCACAAGGCCAGGCCGCCAGCTCTTTCTAGTCTTCCCTCAACCCTCGGACTTTAGATCTCTTGCGACAAACATTGTGCGCGCTTAATTTGGTGGAAAAGGCGATTCGTTCCAATGCTGGTGACATCCTTGACAAGGATAAGAAAATGCCTCCAAACAGGCAGTTGCGGGATCGTGCGCAAGCTCTCTCACTGGCATCCCTAAGTCCAGAAGTGCTGACGCTCTCAGAGTCGTCCCCTTCGTGTCGGCGCCGGGAAAGCGCCTTCCATTCCCGGCAAAAGTCCGATGAACTCTGCCCTGGAAAAACCTACATAAAACATGCGGGGTGCTGCCAAAGTTGAACTAAATGTCCGGGAACTTGATCAAGCTGATATGTGCTGTGGCTCGCTCAAAAATGGAGAGCATCACTGGATGAATTTCTAGCGCAGCCCCATCAGCAACATCAACATCACAACAAAAACCGCCACCCCCGCCGCTGCCACAGCAACAATGAGAACGACGACGGCGGCGGCGGGCGACACTGACAGCAAAGACAACTGTGACACCGCCGACAACAACGACAACAGTGACGACGGCGACGACAATCCAACACCGGCAACGGGAGGAGGAGAGGTGGACGAGGAGGGGTTGGAGGAGTTGGAGGAGTTGGAGAGGCAGCAACTTCGGATGAGGGCGAGTTTCTCAAGAAAAGGCTTCCGTTCGAATTCCCATAGATGTAGCCCCTTCTTTTCAATCCAGCACCTGAAGAATCGTGAAACTATGAACAATGCAGGTCTGGCTGGATTGGCCCTTGCGCTTCCAAACGATTATGTAGCAGCGCAACACACACCTATAGTTCTAACCTGACAATCAAAATATTGGGAATCTGCTGCAACTTGTCTTCCGGGACCCAAAAACACCATCGTCAAAGTCGACTTGTTGAAAGGATCTTGCAGACAAAATCCTGCACCAGTTGGTGGCTGGTCTATCCCATTGTTCGTACTTCCTCCGTTCCAGCTGGTGCCTAGCGTGGATTTTGTCCTCAACAAAACTTCGGTCCCTCCTGAAGGAAGCCCAGCACCTTCTTGCCCACCGCCTGACAGCTGAAGCCGTGACTCCGCATTTTCATTTGGTTCAACCGTTCAATCAGATCACTTGGTTCGGGCGTGTCTTTTTTGGGGATCGCCCTTTACTTGGCTTTGAAGGCAAACTAAAATGAAACCAACCATTCCAGAAAGTCCCGTCATTTTGAGACAACCCCATTTCACTTTTTGGTGGTCTTGCAGTGTTGGTAGCAACGCACTCTGCCTGCTCCACACTGTCCAGCAGCTGCGTGTTGGGACTCGGAAAGCAGGGAGCAGAAGCCCAGCCGAATTCCACAAAGTTTGTTTCACTCAAAACAAACGTCTAAATGAGGAAGCTGATGAGAAGGCCAGGGCTGCACAGGGTCGAGTGTTTCGTCTTTTATACATTTCGATTCATGTGACGACACACATGCATGTGACCAACATCCACGTCAACCTCCCTGTAACATGAGACAAATCGACAAAGCAGCGGAGATGCTCAACCTCCTTGTATTGCCTTTTCCCTCTCCAATGATGCTTCCCGGACATGCATCGCTGGCTGTGAGACATCAAATGAATTCCGCGTAGAGAGTACGGCAGAGGTGCAATCAGAATAAACTGTGCAACTGTCTTTCAAACTGGAACGAGCGCTCCTCTCATGCGCAACCATAGTCAGTCTCTTTCTAGTCAGCGCTTTTCCGCAAGATTCACGTTTCAAGGCTCAAATTGGTGCTGCACCAACTGCCTCAAGCCAGTAGAGGATCCCTGATTCTGGACTCCTCTGCTGACTGCAGATTTCCAAATGCGGCTCTTTTCTCACCCAAAGAGCTCAGAAAGCTTTCGCTTTACCTCAAACACGCCCTTCGCCCCCTGGCTCCCAAAGGGACAACGGAGAGTAAGCATGATTGCATGATATGTGCCCAGCTTTATGATAGCAACTCTGCAAAGTCACTATGATTCCAACGCAGCTTGATAAAACATGAATGCACAAAAAGGTCTGGCTTGCACCAGCCTCATGCCTGTGGAGCCTGTTGCTGGGTGTCTTGATGATGCTCCGCGAACGCATGACTTCTTGATTTCTGCAAGCTTGATGAATCAGCAAATCCTCCCTGATAATGTGTCTGCAAAGGGGCCAAGCAGCCCGAGGAAATACCTCAACAGGAGCTGACCATTTGCAGCCTCTCCCGACAATTTGCCAGATTCCCACAGCCACTTGGGAGTCTTTTTGTCAGTGCCCCTTTTGTCGAAAGGAAAAAAAATGGTGGTTCCCAACTTGGACTGGACTCAAACCCATGAGTCCCTATGAAAACTTGTGGCAAAAGGCGCCCACCCAAAAAAAGTAAAGCATCCATGAGACAGCACCCATTCATGGTTGGCATTGCTACCTAACCTTGGATCCAAATGGGTCTGTGTTTTTTGGAGGCCACCCTCAAGTTTAGGGAAACAAAAGCCGAAACCAGTTTGGGCTTCGGTAGATACATACGTCACGTACCCTCCCATCCCCTCACCGAGGAGCTCCGACAGGCCCCCAGAGGCTGACCTCTTCGCTGAGCGCACTGCCACCGGGGCCCACCGCTGCCACGCCTGAGATGATGTTCTTGCCAATAAAAAGAAATACACGGTGTTCCCTTCCTTGGGATCTCAAAGTGGGCTCGAGAGATTGACAAAAAGATTGTGACCGTTCGATGTCGGAGCAAGCAAAGAATGGGGAATTGCATAAAACGCCTCAACGCTGTGGCCTTGCTTGAATCGAGTCCATGTTATCTTACCTCCTCTCTCAAACGTAGCGTTCATTCTGTGCAACGAAGCAGTCCGAGGTTCGTTTCATGTCCCTCCTTCGGGTGGCTGAACTGATGACATCATGCGGTTGACTGGTGTCGTGATTTATTCCAAGGTCAAGGTGCCGCTTGAACACGCGTTCTATGAAGCTCGCATCAGAGTCTATCCCGCAGCACATCAGCGTCCCACAAATGCATCCAAAAGAAGTTCACCTCAACAAAACATTAACAGGCAGTGCTTCGAGAACGCCTGAAAGAGTCACGCCATCCCGAAGGCCAAAGCAAAGATGGGACAGCACTGACGTGGAAGTAGTTGCCCAGAGTTGGGGCATCAGGTTCAGAATCCCAAGGTCAAAGGTGGCAGGAACGTGCAGCCTTCAACCGCTGGCTCCCAGAAAATGAGTGGTATGAATGAAGAAGCACCGCGAACAAAAAGCAACTACAGCCAGTGTATCATGCTCCGACTGAAACGTCTCCCCTGCATCCACGCTCGACCACAACTGCCGTATCCTTGATCGGTTGCTACCGCCAAACCGAAAAGAGGTTGCGTTCTGGGATGCCTGTCAAGCGAACATGTTGCATCCTTTGCCTCATGGCGCCAATTCCTGCATAGCACTCGACCACCCACTTTGATTCGTCGCACGCAGCACCGCGCCTTCTTCCCAAACAGGTTGTCTTATCTTTTCCAGCCACGGAGGCAAGCAAGTGGGCAAACTCACCGAATAAGGAACTCACCCAACCAATCTCAGCAATTTAAAAAAAAAAAAAAAAAAAAAAAATCCTTCCGAGGCACGGAGTGCCAGGCGCCCGCTGGCGCGCAGCCGGCCCTGCAGGCACAAAGGCAGCTGTGCCATCTGCAGCTCGTAGCTTTGGCAGGGCGCCTCCAGTGCCAGGACGGTCATCATGAACTTCCCGTCCTTTCGAGGCGAACGCCAATCCAGAGAATAGGTGGTCGTAGGATGTCGGTGCTTCTTGACCAAAACAGCAGATAAGCTCTCAAAGGTAGAGCAATGAGGCTGATCCACATCAGCTTGTTGCTGTAATCCCTCCACGAGGGCAGTGTACTGGGTTGCTAGTTGAAAGCATGCTGCAATTGGCCTGGCGGCATCTTCCACCCACAAATCAAAGAGAAGAAACTCAGTGCTTCAGCTCCCTTCCACCCGATGTCCATGTCGAACAAGAATGCAAGAACAACAGTGGGGATCGCCACACCAACAAGACGAACAAAAACAACAAGAGCCACCTAACCCACCCACCCAACCCAACCCAACCCAACCCAACCCAACCCAACCCGACCCAACACAACCCAACCCAACCCAACCCAACCCAACCCAACCCAACCCGACCCAACCCAACCCACCAGCACCACCACCACCACCCCTGCCACCGCAGCCACGACCACCACCACCACCACCACCACCACCAACCACAACAACAACAACCACAACCACAACCACAACAACAACCACAACAACAACAACAACAACAACAACAACAACAACAACAACAACAACAACAACAACAACAACAACAACAACAAACAACAACAACCACAACCACAACCACAACCACAACAACAACCACGACAACCACAACAACCACAACAACCACAACAACCACAACAACCACAACAGCCACAACAACCACAACAACCACAACAACCACAACAACCACAAAAAACACAGCCACAGCCACAGCAACCGCAAGCGCAAGAGCAAGAGCAAGCGCAAGAACAAGAGCAAGAACAAGAACAAGAAGAACAAGAAGAACAAAAAAGAACAAGAAGAACAAGAAGAACAAGAAGAACAAGAAGAAGAAGAAGAAGAAGAACCACAACGACAACGACAACGACAACGACAACGACAACGACAACGACAACGACAACGACAACGACAACAACAACAACAACAACAACAACAACAACAACAACAACAACCACAACCACAACCCCAACCACAACCACAACCACAACCACAACAACAACCACGACAACCACAACAACCACAACAACCACAACCACAACCACAACCACAACAACAACAACAACAACAACAACAACCACAACCACAACCACAACCACAACAACAACCACGACAACCACGACAACCACGACAACCACAACAACCACAACAACCACAACAACCACAACAACCACAACAACCACAACAACCACAACAACCACAACAACCACAACAACCACAGCCACAGCCACAGCAAGCGCAAGAGCAAGAGCAAGCGCAAGAACAAGAGCAAGAGCAAGAACAAGAAGAACAAGAAGAACAAGAAGAACAAGAAGAACAAGAAGAACAAGAAGAACAAGAAGAACAAGAAGAACAACAACAACGACAACGACAACGACAACGACAACGACAACGACAACGACAACGACAACGACAACGACAACGACAACGACAACAGCAACAACAACAACAACAACAACAACAACAACAACAACAACAACAACAACAACAACGACAACAACAACGACGACGACAACCACAACCACAACCACAACCACAACCACAACCACAACCACCACAACAACCACAACAACCACAACAACCACAACAACCACAACAACCACAACAACCACAGCCACCACAACCAGCACAACCACCACCCCACACCACAACCAACCACCACAACAACCACAACAACAACAACAACAACAACAACAACAACAACAACAACAACAACAACAACAACAACAACAACAACAACAACAACAACAACAACAACAACAACAACAACAACAACAACAACAACAACAACAACAACAACAACAACAACAACAACAACAACAACAACAACAACAACAACAACAACAACAACAACAACAACAACAACAACAACAACAACAACAACAACAACAACAACAACAACAACAACAACAACAACAACAACAACAACAACAACAACAACAACAACAACAACAACAACAACAACAACAACAACAACAACAACAACAACAACAAAGTACAACAAAGTACAACAAGGTACAACAAGGTACATCAAAGTACAAAGCACATCTGACCAAAGACTTCTTCTGTTCTTCCTCTCCCCACATTCCCTCCCACCCCACCGGAGAAGGCCCATCCTTCCCCATCCCCAACTTCCGAGCGCCTGCACCCGCAGCTCATAACGGTCCGCGCCGCTGCCCTTCCACCGGAGCTGCCAGGCGCCCTCGGCAGCCTCCACCCGCAGCGCCGGGCGCGCCGGGCGCGCCGGGCGCGCGGAGGCCGCCGCCTTGGCGCGCTGCAGCTTCGCGAGGGCCTGCCCGAAAGGCCAAGTCCGCCCAGCGCGCCCAGTCGGTCAGTGCCCACACTAACGATCCGAAAAGGGACGCCGTTGGGAACAACTTAAAGTGGGGCCTAAGCAATCCAGCGTCTCTGGCAGAAAGCCATCTTCATTGCGTGCCTGCATGGATGGTGCGAAATGGAGAGTGACAATGACTCTCAGCTCCTGCAGTGGATTGGAGCAGTTTTGCCACAAACTTGGTGTGCTGGCTGGCCACTTCGACCAGACAAGATCCAGCGGCATCCTTGTGCGCGCAGCTTAAGTGCAAACAAGGCCTTGGATTCCAAACGGGCTCAAGAAACCGACACCGCACGTTGCCTCATGGCAGCGCAGCTCGTCCTCACCAAACCGCCCTGCCCACATTTCTCTCTGTGGCTCGCAAAACCGCGCGAGACAAATGTTGCTTAGAATGCTGGCAGCAAAAAACAATAGACAACACACACGTTCTACTCTTTTACACAACATAGCAGTAGAATGACAAAGTCATTCGTAGCATTGCCAACAGCAAACCGAGAGGCAGCAGGCACTGAACCAAGTTAAGTACTAGTTAAAAGGATCTCTTTTCACATGCTTGCGGAATAGTTTTTTTTGCCGCCAGCCAAAAAGAACAACTCAAGAAGCACCAGCCCAATGACAAAAATCAACGATCAGCATGCTATACAATGTATGCTCAAAATGTATAGTAGGCGTCCTTTCTCCAGCAAAGCAACATAGAGAACAAGATCAAACAACGTTTTTTCCTAGCCACACGGGTATGAGCTTCTTAAGACTACATTGTCTTGTGGTTCTAAATCGGTCCCCGAAAAAAACACACACACACACAAATATATAGGCGTGATCAAACAAAATACTGTATTTCCGGCCCGAACCAAAAAAAGATATTGGCACCCTGCAACAGGACCCTGCAACATCACCCTCAACCCTCAGTTACATCATCCAGCAGCACCATTGAGCCTTGCAGCCCCAAAAAAAACAGAACCCGCGCAACTCGCAGTCCCAATTTCCAGCAGCACCCTGCAACAGCACCCTTGTGCACTGTAACACCTTGTGCCAACTCTCAGTCACACACTCCACCAGCAGCTTGCAACAGCACCCTTCAACTGCACCCTTCAATAGTCTACCGCGCAAACTCGGCCGAACTCTCCAGCAGCACCCTTCAACGTCACTTGCAACAGCACGCTATGCAATCGGTCACTCACACCGAGTATCGCCCTCCAACAGCGCCCTGCGCAACAGCCCCTTCTTTCCTCCACTTAATGAAAGGTGACCTCTTTGCTTTCCTGTCTTTGCACTGCCTCCCGTCCTCTTCGCGCAAGGGTGGACGTCCATCTGGGTGGATCTGACCTCCCAGTGAAGGCCAGACAACAATAAGCCCTCAAACTGCTGTGTCTCTCAGGCTCGATCCATTCTCCGATCCAGCACCGCTTGCCAAATTCAAACAGCTCAACGGACCAGCGCAACGCTCGTCTTATTGGCACATCTACCTGTCCAATACATCATCTCGAACTTGCTTCTAGCGCTGTGCTGGCATTCGGCCCATCAGCCAGTAATGGATCGCAAAATGCACAGCTGTAGTGAAGCGAAGAGATTGCGAATACCCAGTTTAAGCCAGTTCAGGTTGAGCCGAAGGCTGGCAAATATGTCAATAAACGATCCCTGACAAAAATAAGCGGGCATCCCCCGCATCGGCCCCCCGCAGGATTCCTCAAACTCCGAAGCATCTAGCTCTGAGCCAGCTGCGCGCAAGGAACCGGAAGGCCTGGTGATGCGGTCGCAGAAGTAACGCTTGACTGAAATCCCTACCTGCAAGGCGCAAGCACTGCAAGTCCAAAGACTCCGCATGCTCCGGCCTTGGCCGCAGCGCTCTCGTCCGCACCGGCCAAGAGGCCCAGAACCTGCAGAGTGAGAGTCAGCGCCGAAACGCAAGATTCATGGAAACCCAAGCGTGCCCAAAGGACCGCCCGATGATCCCCTTAGGGAGGACTCGGTGGATCAATCCCTAAGGCCTTGAGGGAAGTCCCTCGGGGTGTTCTGTTTGCATTGGGAAGCAGAATGACATCCATCATATCCTTGGCAATGATAGCATTGTGCCCATGCAACATAGTCCTGTGGAACAAAATCAGGCCATTAAACAGGAAGCAAATGCATGACCAAATCGGGTCCCTCGCAATCAGGGCACCGCCCATGGCCTCGTAGCCCCAGCGAGGCATGCTCTCAGAAACCTGATGCTCATGTGCGACAATCTTGATGGACCACAGAAGTTGCCCAGGAAAGACATACTTAAAAGGTATTCTGGCCAAATATCAAGGTGGCATGGATGAAACTCCAGTCTCAGCCGGATGCACATTTCCTGCATTCAAAGCGCACCAGTGCCATCAGAAACTCACAGGCTGCCTGCAGAATCCGCTGGATCTCCGCCAGCACCTGTGCCCGCCCTCGCCTGGCAGCTCCGGAACAAAGAAGCCACACCGCCAAAGGTCGGGATGGGAAAAAGCATATCCATACACAAAAAGGTCCATCCAACAAATTCTTGCCATCCTTCCTCTTCCACCCTTCCACACCCCTGCTCCCCATCCATCCCTTCCAGCCCTTCCCTCCCTTCCAACCCTGCCAGCCCTCCCATCCCCTCTTCCGTTCACTTCCGTTCACTTCCGTTCACTTCCCCACATCCCTTCCTTCCCTGCCATCCCTACCATCCCTGCCATCCCTTCTTCTCCTCTCTTTGCCTTGTTTCCTCCGGGCAAATGTTCTGTTCTCTTAATAGAAGTCACACCCCCCCGCTCTCCTGGCGTCCAAAAGAAACACTTTGAGTCACGACGCAAGCCACGGCACCTTGGAGCCTTCAAGGCCAGCGGCTCCTCCTGGAATACTGGGTCGACACTGAATGAGCTTTCCTGGAACTCTCATTGTCTGGAAAGGATATCAAAGCCTAAGACACTGACATTGCCTTCCTAGGTTGCACAAACAAGTCGCATGCCAAAGAGAAATTGCCCTGCGTCCTCTCTGACATCGGCTGGAGCTCCTGGCAGATACATCATCCGGCATGAAGTAGCCAACTCAAAACAACCCCTATGCAACTGTCTCATGCTGGTTCTTCAAACACGTGAGAATAGACTGTCTCAAGCTTCCATGTGAATAGCAAGTAGCATAGTAGATGTTGAAACCTCAACGAGCCACAACTTGAGCAGTGATTCAATTTCAAGGTTATTTGACTGGCGAGCCCACAACAAACCTTTGTACAAATGAAAGTTGCGGGTCAATATTTGGCCGAACTGTACGCCGAAAACCATACTGTGAGTGTTTGAGTGAGTTTCTTTGAGAACAAGGCAGTTCATTGGTTCACGGCTCCTTTCGGCGGCAGCTCCTGCAGTGTGCCAAGGGCAAAGCACCAAGGGCAAAGCACATACACATGTTGTGTAAAACCTTTGGCTTGTATCACAGCCTAGCCTTGTCACGTGCTCATGGACTAATGTGCCATTCACATTGCTCTGGCCTGAGTCATTGAAACGGACCAAAGAAAGACTCCGTGTTTTCAATAGCAGCTGTGTGGACGCCCTGGCACAAAAATTGAAGCCCTGTTGGAGCCTCGCACCTCTGTGAAACGCAGGTTGAATCTCACTCGGCACACAGAGATATGCGACAGGAGATGATCACCACACTATGCACAACCTAGAGCTGCAGTTTCCTCATCTCAAAGCACGCTTTCCCTCCTACTAGGGCTTGTTGCACCCACCACCCCGCGGACGTGCCTCATCACACATTTCTTCTTTGCTTCCCGCGCGCTTCTCGCCTCTGAGGATTGCGTGCGGTGCTTGGGGTAAAAGTCTCCAACCAGCGTGCCAAAGCAGATGTCCCCCACACTTTGCAGCATTCAAACCGAAAGTCACGGGGGAACCCAGCTGAGCCACTCGGCTATGCACACCGCGCCTTGTGGCGGTTCAACTTTGCAGCCTGGTCAAATCACAGCTGTGCCAGGCGTACAAAACATTTGAACGTTGCATTGTTCACCTATGTTTGCTTAGACAGGTTTGTCAACTTTCTTGTGATTGATGTTGGCTGCGTCCGCGAAGGATTGGAGCCGGGCATTGCCCAAAACAAAAAATGTTGGCCCTCCACTGAATGCATGTTAAACAAGCGCAGGTGTTGCGAAGTTGTGGGGCCTATGAAGGTGCTGAACACTTGTGTCCACACAACCACCCAAAACCTACCCCAACTCGGAATTATGTAGGGGCTTGAACCCATCCCACTACACATACTCAAAAAACTCACACAAAGCCAACGCACACACACACACACACACAGCGCAGGCGGTCGTTGGAATGAGGTCGTTGGAATGAGGAAACCAGAAACCTCAGTTCCTAGTGAGTCGTTCAAAATAAAATGGAGAAAGAAACATGGAACAAGGGAAAAAAGCAAAACCGAAAAACGCTGCCCTCAGCGCGGTCCAAGTTGTTCAAAAGGAAAATGAAAAAAATGAAAAAAAGGAAACAAGGTAGAAACACGCTGTCCTGAACGGTCCGGACCTGCCTTGCCCGCAATGGCGAAGTCAGGAAATCAAGCTTCAATCTAGTGACTTTGACAGGGCCACAACAACCAACAGTGAATTAAGGGGGGACCAAAGAGGACTTTGCACCACGAGCAGGTACGGGAGCTGCCGTCCCAGTTTCCTTCCCATCTGCAACCGTAGCTTCGTTGCACGGTAGGTTGCAAATGCCGTGCGCCCCTGCTAGTGTGCAACTCTCGCCCTCTTCCCGCGAACAGCTCCAATCATGGCGCTTGCTGACTCAAGTATTTTCATGCTTGTTTCCAGCACGTTGCACACCCACACACACACACAATCGTCCAACTCCAGTCAAATCCCCCTTAAAGCCGGCCAAATTCCCTTCCAGAAGCCAATCAAATCCTAGAGACCTGCCACATCCCCAAAAAAACAGGTTGAGAAACCGGCGAAATTCCCCCAAAAACCAATCAAATTCCCCAGAAATTCGCACCTTCGCTCGGCCGGGAAACCAGCTTGCGCATTTCGTCGCCGTCGGCGCCAACTCGCTCACTCCAATAAACACAAGACGTCAAGGCAAACTAAAGCACGGTACATGGCCCAAAGCCAGCCACAAGCGGACTTGCCGAGGCGGGCAACGCGAAGCGTTTACACACACAAAAAAAGCTCTGCATGGAACACGTCAACTCTGGCCATAATCTCAGGTGTCACCATCGTCAGCTCACAAAGGTCAAACTGGCAAGGGGCTGCTGGCAAATCTGGAAACTGTCAAAGTAGAACAAGTTGCGGCTTCGCTCATCAGAAATAAAACATCTCCAGAAAGCAGGGAGTGCCTCCCAGCTCCCTGTTCCAGGTACAAAAAGGGGTCTCGGTAGTTTTTTTCATGCAGAAAATCAACACAAAGGGCTCAGCCCCTCTGAGGCTTTTTCCATGTCCCCGGCCTGCCAAGAAGGTGAGCGGAACAGCTCCCGGCTCCGGGGCGATGCCTCACGCGATCGATCAGACGGCCACGCCAGCGGTCTCTGGCCGAGGGGTAGCTTCGGCTGACTGGGTGCCTCCTGAACTGCTGAGGCCTGTTCCTCTCAGGAGAACATGTAGCAAATTCAGCCAGGCGTGTCGCGTCACTTGTGGCCGCAGACCAGCCACCCCAACCAAGTTGATCAGTCTTGATTTCGAGCAATGGCTGTGCCGGAGACATAGGTTGCTGAGTCGCTTGCTCAGTTCATCCGAAAGTTAGCCACCCGATAAACTTTGATGACTTGCGAGTCAAGCTATATCAATCGACAATGCATAGAAGCACCATCCTTGACCAGGCTGTGCCTCTCAGTGGATCTCTTGTCGTATATTCTGCAAGGATCCCTGAAACTGTAGACATAGAAATTATTCCCGCAAACAAACAGGCTGCTTTCAGCTGGGGGCCAGGGAGTGGGGACAACTGCAGCCATTCACAGATTCCAGCACCCAAGTTTGCACCGCTCTCCTGAAACTCACATTATCCCACTACTTCGCACCCCATTCCAACACCCAAAACCAGAAAATCCAACACTCAAGTTTGAACCATGTCTGGATGGTTCTGGCTGGTTCTGGCTGGTCTGGGGTTCCAAAAAAAAAATGCCTCAGGCGATCCGCGGCTCAATCAAAATATACTGCTGTGCATAGCAACCTTCTTTAGTCGCATGAGCCACTCTGGATGTCTCTGTTGCAAACAACCATGAATGTCCAACACATTACTTTCGCAACTAATACTACACTTCATGTATAAAACACTCATGATGGCCCTAGGATCATCGAAGCTAAAGCACAGCTTCTCTTTACCCCACCCAATAATTAGCAAAGTAGGGCCCAGAAAATATCCCCAACAGCCCCAGGACCTCTCCGGAACCTGCCTGGAAAAATCCAAAAACCAGGGAGTAGCTGTCACTGTGAGGAAAAAGCAACCATTGTCGGTTTTGGATCCTCTTGGAGCACTGAATTATGCAGACAAATATCACACTGGTACCTTCATCGCAAGCCAAATTGGCGAGCTCGTGATGCTGCCTCTTTCGCGTCAAAAGATTACTATAGCAGCACGCTACCAACTTCAGCCTGCCAAAACGAAAGTCAGCTGATCATCAACGCCAAAATCCATGGCAGACGCAGCCGCCTTGTGGCCAGTCATTGGCTTCAGTTGGCAGGCGCAGGGATGATGGGCTCTTGTCTGCAAAATCCCATCTCGCAATAACCACTCAAGTACAGACTCAGGCAGTCCGTGCAACACGTGCTTCTGCCAATTAGTCAATGCTCGCGCCTCAGTGCACTAGATCTCGGGAGCCGTGCTATCCAAAAAACATATTCTGCATCCTTTGCATCAAAGTTCTAAGACCAAAAGCCCATAGAAAGCTGAAACTGCAACTTGTTGCTCGCTGGAAATGCACCGCCTTCAAACAAAAGCGCGCAAACTGCCAGCCCCACAAGACCAACACTTATTTATAACCCTTGAAACAGTTGATACACAAATCATAACAGATAAGGATTACTCAAGTTCAAAGGGATACAATACTCAACATGAGTTTGATCAAAATGTGTATCGCAATAAGAATATATAGCATAATATGTCAAATCCATCGAACATGAAATGAACAAATATGTGAATATTGATGACCAAATTATCGCTGAAGCCACGCCATCTCAAGCTGGTGGTTGCTTGTGAGGCCAAACAAATACCACTCTCGATTTGCACTCTCCAACCCAACTGCCGAGCCAACAACTAACACTCAAGCCACCTGACAAATCACATTGCGCTATCTACAAAGCTCTTCTAACTGTCTGCATCTAGGTTCTCAAATCACATGCGAATGTCAAACCGAAGTTGCTTCTTGTTGCTTGCCGGACATTTCACCACATGCGCATCAACAACGCAAACTGCCAGCCTCCTACAAGTGCCACTCAAAACGACCAACGACGAAACCAAGCCGTCTCATTTTGAGCTGAAGCTGTTGATTGTGGCGCAGAGAATATTAGCCTCTTTGAACAAGGGCTCAGAATGGCTACCTTCCGACCCAGCTGCCAATCCAAGCAATTGCCAATCCAGGCAACTGACACTTAAGCCACCTGACAAGTCAAGTTGCAGTTGAACTGCCCCGAAACACGCAGCAGACCCACCTTGTGGCCAGTCGTTGGCTTCAGCTGGCGGGCGCAGATTGCCTGCAATCGTGCGAGCTCCACAAAACCTATCAATGATACCAGACCCAAAGGAATGATTGGACTGCGCAATCACACGCTCTTGCAATTTAGGCAACGTTCTCGACTCAAAAAGTTGTGTTGGGAGCCTTGAATCTACAATACTCGCGTCAATCCTGTACATGTAAATTCTTAGACCCCTGCTCATGTCAAGCTCATGTTGCTTCCTCGCACCAAACTGCCAGCCGCCTACAAGTGCCAGTCAAAACGACCAACGACGGAACCAAGCCGTCTCATCTCGAGCTGAAGTTGTTGTCAGTGACGCAACGAATATCAACCTCTTCCAAAAGCAATCTCAATTGCCACCGACGCACCAAAGGTGCCAAACACCTGACACTACAGGTTGCAGTTCAACTGCTGGCCAGACCCACCTGCCTTGTGGCCAATTTTTGGCTTCAGCTGGAGGGCGCGAACATGAAGGGTTCTTGCCTGCAACACGGCTCCACCCGACGAATGAAACAAAATAGCGCGAGGAAACCGCACTTTCCACACATGATGACACGCCCTCATCAACCTTGCTCCAACTTTTGTCACCCATAAATTGGGTGTGGTCTGGTGGTCAGCGAACACTGAGATCCATCAAGCCAAAGCAACAAGTAAATGGGCACAGGACCATCAAAGGCTTGACCCACCTTCTGGCCAGCCGCTGGCTTGCAATGGAAGCTGCGCTGGTGCATCGCTTCTTCCTGCTGAGTCATGTGGGCAAAGATTGAAAAAGTGATGCTGCACGAAAGACTGTGTTGTTTGAAAGCCTGTTTCCGCGCCACTTTTCGGCATCTACGAATTCAAGCCTGTGCCAAAGTTGCACCCTGCGCCACCTGCTCTGGTTCAAGACCTTTCGCAGCAAATAATGTTGAAATGCTGCTTGACATTTGAAGAAGACTGTGCAACTTCATCCTCTAAATGCTGTGTTCCATGCAAAAGCGTATCAAGCAGTAAATTAACAAAAAGATTGTCTCGCCCTGGCACAGACCAAGAAGACGTCACCGTGCACGAAACTGCGATGCTTTGAACGCAGAAAGAAAAACAATGCCATGACAAGCAAACTCGATTGCATGCGTGCCCTCCTACATCTACAGTTGTGCTCATTAGCATTTGGGTACTAAAATAATCTGTTGCCGTGAATCCATGTTGTTTGAACGCACCAAGTCAGAATTGGATAGGCTGAGGATGTTCCCTCTGCCTCAAAGGCTATCTTGACACTCGTTTCTCATAGGCGATGCAAGTATAGACCAATTGGAGCTCTCCAACGCTCCATGTGTGTGTGTGTATACTTGTGTGGCATACAAAATGAACGAACTTTGTCAGTGCGTCCACCAAGTCAAGGCAATGCACAAATTCCTTCTGCATGCTGAGCTCAGAGAGCCCCGCCCTCGCTCTTCGCTTAGGAATCTGGCTAACGGGCAGGCGACTCAGCACGCTCCCCGGAACGAGACGAGTGCTCCGAAACCTGTAGGCCAGAAATTCAAGAATGGCGCATGTCCCAGTGGTGCCAGTCCTGAACCTGCCATGGAGAGCTGGATCGGAGGCATCCTGGCCACACGCATCATTCAATTTTATATGTGAACACGTGTACATGTTGAATTCCACAGGCGGACCAGGCATAAGGACCCGCGGAACGTTTGCTCGAGGCAAGTCGTGAAAGGCCAAGCCGGGCCAGGTTGCATCTCAGTATATGTATGCTGAGGGGAGCGGGGGGGAGCGGAGGGGAGAGTAGAGGAGGGGAGGGCTTGCCTTGTTTGCCCGTGCAAAGCTCGACATTGAGTTTGGACCCCCAAAAAAGGAAAACAGCAACCACAAAGTGTTCCTTTTGGCTTCCATGTGAGCCAACCTGAAAAGGGGTCCCTCAAAATCACACAGACACACAAACACAAGCGCCGACCCGAATATGCTCGTTCACGAGTCTGCCGAGGCGCAACGAAGCAGATGCGTCATCTTCGAAGTCTTCAATGTCATCATCACCCTGGATGGTCAGGGGAATCGTGCACATGTCCAATGAGCGCCTAAAGGGTTGAATGGATGGTGGCCCTGCATTTGAATGCCTAGGATGGTTTGTGATGGTCAATCCTGTCCCAATCAAACATGCTTCGGATGCACCTGGGCTGCATCTGCACCGTCTGCTTCCCCTTCCTGAGCTTCCTCCTCTGCTTCACACTCTCCAACTTGCGCCTGGCTATGGCAGAGCAAACGCCAGGCGCAAATTCGGACGAAGCCCTTCAAAGCTTCCGCAAGGCGGAGCCGCTCAACACATCCCAGGCAAACCTCCGACCCATTTGACAAGAAGGCCGCCTCCTTTGTTTCTTCAGTCTTGATGGAAGAGATCTCTGCTCAATCCCCCCCCTCACCGGTAAAAGCAGCGGGCTGGAGCATCAGAATGTAGACTCCAAATAGCTAAGAATTCAAGAAGATTGACCGTGCAAACGCAGATCGGAAGGACTGGTGGCCGAAGAGCGTACGTCGCAATACAGAGCGGCAAGGCAGGTTGCGCCAGCTAACAGTTTCCAGGAGGATGTTCACAGCATGTGAAATTGTTGTGGCCAAACGTTTACACTGACGAAGAATCATATGGCCAAGCAACTCATAGTAAATAAGGCTGTTATGACTGAGGCACGCTACCAAACCAACGACTGCCAGGGTTTACATGGTGGTTTTGTCTGTCTCTCTTTTATCCCTCACTGCACACGAATTGTGCCCACACAGAATGTTTGCAGGCAGGGTCGTGATTTTGCTGCTTGTTTCCCGCGCATATGTGAATCAGCCAGCATTGCTGCATGTGTTGAATGCTGGAAGACAACATTGATGCTCTGCAACGCAAGTATGGAATCCTCTAAAATACTTTTGGAACTCAAGCTAACCGCTATCCACCACCACGGGAAAGTTTTAACACAGCGAAGCCTCCGGTCCCATGCTCTTGTCAAGGGCAGAATCCCCGCGCTGGCGGTGCAACATGCACTTAAAAGCAGCGACGGCCTCAGTCAACCTTCACCCGAAACTGCTGCAGAAACGCATACACACACTCACACACTCGCTCGATTTGGCTACGTTCGTGTGTGTGTGTGTGTGTTTGTGAGACAGAAACTCTCTCTGTCTCTCCCTCTCTCTCTCTCTCTCCCTCTCTCTCTGTATTGTAAGGCTTGATGAAAAAACGGACAGAGTGGTTGCCGGACTCACTGACCGCTGCATGAGACCCTGCCATGACATGCCCAGCAAAAATAAGACTGCAAAAACTCCGGGCATGTGAAACACATAGGTGTGTCTTTTCAGAGTACCCTTATCCGGTTGGGGGCGGTTTGAACGGAAATGAAGAGAAATACTCGCATCGCAGCAAGACGGAACCAGAGTCGCTGGGCCACCCAAGGCCCTTGACTCTGCCTCTGGCGCCGGCGGCGGCGGTGGAAACCGTCGCAGAAGCTCCGCAGCTGGCAGGGCAATGCGTGCGGTCTGTCACACACACACACACACACACACCCACACGCACGCACGCACGCACGCACGCACGCACGCACGCACGCACACACACGCTTGAAACCAGTTCCGCCAAGAAAAAAATGCTGCTGGGAATTTTGGCTCCTCGGTTCTCAAGCAAGTTTACACGCACAAACAGGCTTATGCAGTATACAAACACACAGAGCTTACACACAGAGTCAAACCCCGTTTGGAGTAACGGAAAATCGAAAACTTGGCAGGTATATGGAGGCCGGTCTCCACATCCCGCTGCTGTACGCCTCACTTGGACTAGGGATTCGTGGCATTTGAGACTTGCTCGGGGCTGGGCTAATTGCAGTAGTTCAACACTGGATTCGATCTTAGTGAGGGCGGGTCTTGGGTTTGGTTGGGGGTTCAGCTGGGCAAAGGGCTGGTATCCAGGCTGCTGTTCTTCGGGTACATTTAGGGTTGGCTTGGAGCTGCTTGTGCTGGGTGTGTGGCTGCTTTAGCTGTGGCTGTCGAATTGCTTTAGGATGGTTGCGTGAGTTTGGGCTAGTTTTTCCAAAGCAACCCTAAAGCCTCTGCTAAACCAGCTGCACACCCAAAGTCAAACCTGAACCCACCCAACAGCAGCCTGGATACGAGCCCTTTACCAAGCCCAACTGAACCCCAACCAACCCAAGACCCACCTCATTGAGATCGCCTAAAAACATTGAAAAAATAACCAGCTCCAAGCAAGTCGTTTGCCTTGAGCATGCGAACCAGAGCTTCTGAATTCTAGCTTTGGACTTCCTCTCGTCCTGACTAGCAGTCTCTCTGACGAGCTTGCTAATGTGCGCAAGTTCCTGGCCGAATAAATCTGATCCAGTGCTGGAGAGAAGGCAGTGCAATTAGCATTGTGTGCTCATGGGAGCAACGGGCAAATTTGTGTCTCTCGCAAGGAAAATTGGGTGCCCCTTCCCTAGGCTAGTACCCCAAAATTAGAAATACCAACTATATTGCCAGTGACTCGTAATATCATAAATCTCCTTGCTTTACGACGTCACAACAAAGTCCTAAAGCATTTTCAAGAATTGATTTTGACCCCAAAAAAAATGGGAATTCTCCAACAAAAGCCCGATGAGGAATCAGGGAGATGCCAAGATTCTGGGTATGAACTTTGCTGGTCGGAACACACTAAAAATGATTGACGGACATAAATCAACATCTGCATAATGTCTACAAAATGGTCCCCCAACTGCAATCTGGATACCTCGCCAATCTGGAGCGGACTTGTTTTGCCCGAAAGTTCATTTGCCCATCGCCTCGTGTCAGGTCCGGAGAATGCTGGTTGCACTGCTAGAGTGACTCTTGGCGGTGCTATCAGCAAAGCTCCTGTTTGTGCTAGCACCCGCACGTGTCAGACTGCTGCAAGACTTGCTGCATAAGCAGAAGAAACGGCTACACATATGTGGGTAAGTCAAAAAGTGAGATCCAGAGGGACGTTCTATCAAGGACATGAGCATTTAAAGGTGTGAAGGGGCCAACTCAGTTATGTGTCTACGGATAGTATCATTGCCTCGTTTGCATGGGACTCAAACAACGAATACACCCTTTGTTTGCCCTCCTTCCTTGCATCACCAATGCTCGCCTTTCTAAAGGAAATATTTAATTTAGCAACGTCACTTGCGGTGTACCTGGGTCCTGCGCATGTGCTCCCTCAAGTCAACCACCCAACCCCAAACTCAAACAGAATCGACAAATCTCCCCCAACAGCCGGCCATGGAACCTAGCAAACTCCCAAAGCTCAGGGATTGGACCAGGTGCCGCTCGATTTGACCGCACACCTTGCTCTGCAGGGCAAGCTGACGATGTGCCCAACCTGGGAAGCAACTTGAAAGAACTATGAGGACAAGTTTCATCGAACCAATGCCAAGTGTAGGAAACCACGCTGCTCTCCATGTGACTAAAAGGAACAGCGCTCCTTGCTTGACCAATCGCAGAATTTGCAAAATCTTGTCTGGCGGTCGAGGACAAGCTTTGGCCATTCTGCAAGTGTCAGATAAGATGGGATTTGTCCTCATCCGCATGCTACGTTGCAGAAGCGAGTTTCTGCTGGGCCCAGAGCCGGGGCGGCTTCAAGGATGGCAAAGGCTCAGACTTCTTGCAGCTTAGGGTGTCAGGATTGGAGTCTGTTTGCAAAGTTGCAGGCACCCAAGGGCGACCTCAGGCTACATTTGTCTCTTACCCTGACGACATCAAAAAAGCCAATGACTGCAAAAGAATCCGAATGCTTAATTCAAACACACCATAAAGGTCTACACTCTATCTTATCCCACAACACACATCTCTTCTCTAGAAGGTCTTTCCAAGGGTCGGTGCACGTTCATGTTGGGTCTATGGAAGGACCCTGGCAAAATCACGCTGAAACCCTGCGACAAGTCTTGGCCACCTATCGTGAGGTCGCACACCTTCTCGCAGGTTCCAATGCAACTGAGTGAAATTGCAGTCAGCAATGGGCACAGTCTGTGCATGTCAATTGCAGCAAGGACCGGGCAAGGGATTGACTCCATCACCACAAAACAGAACATAGACGTCGATTTGCTGTTCAGGGCCTCATGGGAATGTCAGCGGTTCTAGTTGACTTGCCAATCATCCGGAACAAAGGCTGTTGGCAGGCTCACCCTGTGCCTCGCGGTCCACAGCAGGCCCCGACAACGGCGCACATGCAGAGTCTCCTGAAGAGAGAGGCAAAGCTGTGCCATTGCGGGTCTGAACAAGGATCCATCTGAGAATCTGAGAACTTGCGCTTGGCACCGCCGGCAAATCATTGGCAGAAACAAGGGTCTCGCGTTTCTTATTCTTGCATAGGCCGTCTAAAGAACAATGTGATCCATGCTTACCCTTCACCCGGCAAGCCCTTGCCAGCCCTCAGGCACAGAATTAGGTGCCCAGCCTGCGTTTGCTCAGAGACAGAAACCATTTATGCAAGCCTCGCTAGCTCTTTCTTGAAAGATTCAGCCGGCTTTCAAGATCAAGATGGGCCCAGACCACGCCAACGTGTGGGAGCTTCAAGCTGCGAACCTGCGCTCCTCTGGGTCTTTGACAAAGTCCCCGGCCCAGGCTTCCAGCGGACTCAGCTGCAAGAACAGCGCCGCCTCCAGCTCCTAACGCCAATCGACTCAAGCCGCCCCAGCCGTAGGTTTGGGTTGGGGAAACAACTGAGACGTGAAGGTGATTCAAGACAGGTCCAAAGCCATTTCAAGACAGGCAGCCTATAGAGAGATATTGTCAAAGCAAGTTCTGCTTTGTCGAAGATAGTTCAATGCTGCTTGCGAACATATGTCTTGCCATCATATGTGTCTCGCGGTGACCAGTGGCATGCGCCATTTGCAAGAGGATCGCGGACCATGTCCCTTCAAATCTTCTTGGTCCGACATCCAACCATCCAACCCAGACTCCTGGGCAAGCTCAGCTCCAAGGACTGTCAGGACCTCTACCTAGCGCGAGTGCCTCTCTAAGTATTCAGGGGGAAGGAAAAAAAGAACAAAAAACGACCGGCAACTCAATCCCTTGTACAACTGCCGGTGTTGCCTGGATGCAATTTATGTGCTTGGGTGTTTTTCTCCGGCAAGTAACTTGACTTTTGTAGTTGTTGGTTTTCCAGGTCGGCTCTGTTGCCCTTACCAGCACTGGGTTGAAGCTGCAGTACCCCTTGATACTGATCAAAGGAAGACTGGATGAAGGTAGCTCTGCGCAAAAATAGGACGGACAAGAATTAACGCGTTCGAAAACATGCGTGGGCGCGGCGTGGAATAGATTTCCTCAAAAAGAGCAACCCTCTGCGGGTTTTGGCTTCTCCAGCTGGCTGAAGATTACCCCAGTCGCGACGCCGTGTGCGGAACGAGTGCGAAACGGTCTCGGCGCGACACTTTGGCAGCCTGAGGCACGGATTTCGTGGCAGGACGCACACAGTGTCACCAGCAGAATACGTGGCACGCGCGGCATTTTAAAATCCGAGGAGCAGATTCCGTTTCAGCCGCAAAACTTTCACAACATGAGGCTCCCAGGGTCAGGCGAAGGCTGGAGAGGGAGGGAGGGAGGGGAGGGGAGGGGAGGGGAGGGGAGAGGGGAGGGAGGGGAGGGAGGGGAGGGGAGGGGGAGGGAGGGAGGGAGGGGAGGGGAGGGAGGAGGGGAGGGGAGGAGGAGGGGAGGGGAGGGGAGGGGGAGGGAGGAGGGAGGGGAGGGGAGGGCAGGGGAGGGGAGGGAGGGAGAGAGGGAGAGAGGGAAAGAGGGAAAGAGGGAAAGAGGGAAAGAGGGAGGGAGAGAGGGAGAGAGGGAGAGAGGGAGGGAGGGAGGGAGGGAGGGAGGGAGGGAGACAGGGAGGGAAAAAAAAAGGGAGAGAGGGAGGGAGGGAGGGAGAGAGAGGGCGAGAGAGAGAGAGAGAGAGGGAGAGAGAGAGAGAGAGAGAGAGAGAGAGAGAGAGAGAGCGGCAGAGGCAAAGGCAAAGGCAGAGGCAGAGGCAGAGGCAGAAGCAGAGGCAAAGGCAGATGCGGCGGCAGCGGGAGGGAGATAGCGCACAATGCCTGCACATCTTGGACGCAGCGACTCCTAGGCCTTTCCTTCTTACATTCAAACGCCCTGTTTGCAGCAAGTCTCGGAGGGAGTGTCCCTGCCGAAAGTTGTTGCACATGAGACTTCTGGAGCGCTGTATCCTTCAGAGCGAATGCGAAAGCAAATTGGCAAAGACATATTCGCAGGTCGCTGTCGAAATCTCTTTGCAAAATGGTCGCGACCTGCGGCCAAAAGGCCGCGCGGCGCCGCAGCTGCGCCAGTGCGGCGCGGAAGGCGTCGGCGGCGCGGCGGCGGAGGCTGCAGGCGGCTGCGACATTCGCCTACGGTCCGAACCGGAGACCAGCTGACTGGGGAGCTCAGCCAGCTTTGAGGTGCTGTTCACGCAAAACCTGCATCTCCGATCTAGGAGTCATCAATCAAAACGCGGTACACCCACCACCATATGAAGAATCCGAAGGGCGGCCCCCAATGGTTGGGACTCCCCCACCAACCCTCAACTTTATGACAGGTACGCTGGATGCATGACAAGGCCTCTCCATGCCAACACAGTGGGCTGCCAACACTGTGGGCGCATGCGCCTTCCAAGCCGTATGTTCAGCATGCAAAGGCAGGCAGTGCACTGGCTTTGTTTTGGACGGAAATCCCGTGGTACTTTTGTTCCTGCCTTCCCTGTTGTCCAGCAGTCGAGACCAGTCTAGTGCAGCCCGAGCAGCCCATTTTCGATGAGATATTGAAAAAGCGACATGCGGTGCCTCCACACGCCTGCTCCCAAGTATGAAGAAAGACTCCGTGGCAACATGGAAATATGAAAAATGTACATCACACCAAGGCGTTTCTCGTTCGCCACAAACAACAAAGAAACTTATGCACCATCACACTGGATGGTCGTTATTGATAAGACCTCTCTTGCAGCCTGAATGCATGCTGCTTAGGTGCAATCCACGTGCCATACCACAGCCATGCGCCGGGCCCCAACCAAATTGGGGAGCGCTCCTTTATGTGATCGGAGAGAACATCCAAAAGCTGCAGCTATCGCCAGCCGTAGTGCCCTTTTCTGATGGGTTGCCTCAGCCCCTCAGCTAACAGAAAAGAGAAGCTTGAGATCCGCCCTCGTTGCAAAACAGGAAGGAAGGAACTCCTGAAACGGAAACTCACAGAGTTGCAGAAATCATATCTGGCTGGCAGAAAACGCGTCGGAACTCCGCCTCCTGCAAGCGCTTCAATAGTGCAGGCCGTTGCAGCAGCTGCAGAAGAGGCACTGCGGGCGCAGCCTGGGTGGGCCGGAGCTGCGGTGGCATCTGGTTGACTCCGCAAACCATGCAGCCCCGTTTGATAGACCGCTTTCGCCCTAGCAACCTCTGTTGGGTTCAAGCCGCTCCAGCAAAACAGAGATCTGAAAAGGCTAGTCCTATGTAGAAAGAAAATCTCCACATGAAATTGAGTTTCCAAAAGTCAAATCCTGTGACATTCTATTCCAAGTAAGGAAATCTCATTCTGGCTTCGCCTCTTTGAAGCAAGCTGAGCCAACGGCCTCTAGCTCTCGCAATGCTGCCAGAAGCATCGTCTCGTCCTGCCCAGCTTTTCTGCACTGCCTAAAGCCTTGACACCACCCATACCCAACTATTCAACAAGTTGATAGCCCCAGATATTCGTTGGAGAAGTGACAGGCTGCATCCTCCACTAACGAGCACAACCACACATGGTTGCTGCAACTGCTGAGCCAATATAGGGGTATATTCTCACCTCCATATGCTTCGAGAATGCTTGAACAACGTAATTGGCCAGGGCACCTGTCTGGTTCTCTTCCGTGTCAACTGTACTTATGGAAAAGAAGCCAAATGCCACCAGAAGCCACCGACGTAGAAATTGTGTCCACAAAACATACATGTCGTCCACCAGGCCTTCCTTGGGGCTTAGGATTTGGGTTTGGGAGGATTTGGGGTTTCGATTTCGGGTTTAGAGTCTTTAAATTTCGGGTTTGAGTCTTTCGGGTTTAGGATTAGGTCCAGGGCTTGGGTCGCCTGGTGTCGAGCTGAGGGTGTTCGGAGGAAAGAATTCTCCGGGTTTGGGGTTAAGGTGTTACTTTTCGTTGATGTTTGGGTGTTTTGTTGGGTTTGGTTTTCTGGGTTGTCAAGGTTTTGAAGGAATAGTCTAGGCTTGTCTTGGGGATTTAGGGATTGCAGGTTTTGCAGTTTAGGGTCTTTTGGGTTGATGGCTTAGGGTTGTTGGGGTTGCTGTGCGAGCACATGCAGAACACAGAGAAGAACCTCAGCAAATCATGCCGCCGTTTCCCTCCCAAATCAAACTGGCCATGTCCAAACAGTCCTTAGCCTCAAGCATCACGAACATAGCGTCGGACAACTCTTCAGCCAAGCAGTTCAAGGTGCTGGGAGGCCAATTCTTCTTCTCCTTTATCCAGCGAGCACATTGTCATCATTTACTCTCAATGATTACGAGTCTCAGCATCCTGATTTGTTGATGAAATAGTGAAGTGAGAAACAGCACTGAACTTGATCAAAAACCAACATGACATAGGGGCCACGTATGGCTCTTTTTCCCACAACAAACGGACCTGCTTGCTTTGCCCGCTACCAGAACCTCAACCAATTGAGGTCGGCAAAGTGTGCACCGGCTTTGCGCCATGCTCCCGTCCAACTTGAGCTATGGAATTGCAGAGTCGAGTGACCCAGCAGTGCTGCTGGAATTCAAAACTGCAAATGACAGCGGTCACTGAAAATCACATGTAGAATGTCAGTGGTTCACTGCATCCTGCAACTTGTGGAGCAAGTTCGCCATAGGGTCAGACTTGACTTGTCGGCCGATAGATAATGCGACGTGCGAAGGCAGCTGGTTGCCCTCATGAAGCACGCGTACCATGACTCAGCTCATTGGTTTGGGAGTCATGGGGGCCGAGCGAGTCCCTAATCCTCGCTTGCATGGTCAGCCCCATTACCTCTCGGGAACTGGCATTTGGCGCATGTGTCTTTTTGTATGGAAAGCTCTTAGGCCGGCACTCGTTGAAGAGGTTCGGCAGGAGAACTAGCGGGGTGACATTGAGATCTTCAGGCTTTCCAGAAGCAGACCTATATATTGCTTCTATGGATTTCGTGTCATCTGACTTGCATGATCAACTGCAAGGAATGGACCACACTGAAACACACACGGTAGAATCTGCCAGTATGCGCATGCCGGCATTAAAACTACTTCCGCATAAGGATAGTCTTCCTTCAATAGACGGCTCCTGACTGGAGATTCCATGACAGTCCCAAGCGACCTGAAGTTGCAACGCTTCCAGCTACTCCACTGGCAGGGATTTGGATGCAAAACAATGGACCTTCTCTTCTCAGCCCGACAACAGACCAATCCAGCCAACCACGAATACAAAACCATCTTCAACAACCGGAGTGTCCGAATAGAAAATATATTATTGAGTCTGACGGACATGGAAGACGCAAGAGGCGGAAGTCTCTCAACCCATTGCTCCCCGAACGCCCCCGAGCACTCGGGAGGCGCCTGCTGTGGCGTATGCCACCGACACATCCAGGTGAGAATCCATGTGCAAGAGCCAGGACAAGGTCGTGACAACCTGCCGCAAAAAGGAGCAGATTGGGGGGCCATGCAGTCAAATTGCACGATTGACGTGGCTTTCTCAAAGCGCCTTACGTCTTAACGCTGAAGAGGAGAATGAACGTCATAATCATCATTATCCGTCCTACTTCAGCCCCAACCCCCTTTCATGGTGCTACAAGCTCTCCAGCTTCTTGTCATCAATGCCTCCATTTCTTTTGCCAGCTCTTTCTTGCACGAGTGCCGCTGCACATTCTCCAAAGGGCGCTTCCTTGCCCGCCCTCCCAAACTCAAACCATGAACTTGGGCTACAACTCATGCGTTGAGAGCATGCCTCTACCCAAGCCTACATTGGTCTTTCGTTTGCTCTCAACCTGCAAGCAAGAAGGGAGGGCATCTTCAGAGTCCCCTCCCCTGAGCCTTTACCAGAGGCATAAGCATGGCTATTCGAGTCAAATTGTTGGGAATACAAAACCGGGACCACCTCAGTGTTTGTCACGAAAACAACACAAACCAAGCATTTGAAGAGTCCCTAACTTTGACACGCAGAACGGCACTTCGTGCGGAACATGGTACCCGCCCATCCCCGCCACAGGAAACAGCCGGGTGCTCACGGTGAAAGGCAGCGGCCAGAGCCTGCCACTGTCAAGTTGCTGTTCATGCCGATCTTCCGAATCTTCCTTCGAGTTAAATGGTAAACGGACACATGTCAACTTGGGCTGCTGGTTTCCATGCGGATGATCTGCGTGCAAGGCAGGCCTGGAATGCTGACCCCTGAAGGAGTGCGTCAAAATCACTGCTTGACTAGGGGGGCGCAAACGAATGACATCTTGACATCTGCAGCTATCTCTGGGGGTCGACTAGTTTCTGGATGGGCTTCATCTGCTGGACAAGCCAAACCTACTGTACCCATTTCCTCCGGCACTGCTTTGCGCACTCTGCTTCACTCACTCCGCCAACCAGCGGCGAGTCGCTACATGTGTCTCTTGCTTGTCCTTGGCCAGTATTCAGGTTCCAGTTCCAGGCTGCCATAGTTGCCTGCCTTGGGCAGGATGCTCTCGAGGTCCTGAAATAGTGCAATCTAAAGCTGAGCTATAATGGCAGAGCAATACAACCTGTAAAACTGACTCAAGTGAGTACGCTGAGAGAACCCCAACGTGAAACCAGAAACAAAGTCTGATTGCGACAGCTAGGACATTTGTGCACGCTGTCCTTCGGTATGGAGCTGGAGATGGCTTCCAACGCAACCAAACCAGAAAGCACATGACAAATCGCGATCACCGCCCAAACGGATTGAATCCTTCGAACCTCCAGCGAGGCATTGAAGACCAGCCCATAGAAGACAGCCACGTGGGATCTATTGATAGGATACCAGCAGGCTGTGCTGATTGTGGTAAGCAAAACCGTTCGACAGACAATCTGCAAGAAGATGGTTTTGCTCATCTTGATCGCATCCACATCTGTCTCTGTGGCCAGAAGGTGAAGCGGCCCAGCAACCGCCACATTGGACTTTGTCGTCAGTGTCAGCCTGGGACTGGCAAAAAGAAAGAACATCAAGCCCGAAGAATATGACCTCGAAACGAAGCTCCCAGATTAATGAACCGGAGCAATGCTATTCAAATCAGTTACAGGCCCGCAAGGGATTTCTCACACTGGTGGACCCTGTTGGGTGGCCTGAAAGGGACACCAAACAGAAACAATTCGAACTTGGAGTTCCCGGCTCAGTGCGCTCGCCTGACATCACCGGGGCATACGAAGTGGGTGAAAGTCAGGGAGACCAGGCAGAAGCCCAGCACGCCTGCACCAATGCCAGCCAGGCCCGCAGGGCTCATCATCAGCGCGGGCGCAACTTCGTTCTCCAACTGCTCCATCAAGATCATGCCTCTCCGAATGTGGAAAAACTGGGTGAGGCCAGTAAGGGCCAAAGTGGTTCATAATCGGATTAGTTGCATCTGAACTGTCTGGACCCGCCTTCCTTGGAGACGACAGCGGTTGCAACCCTCTTGGACTCCTCCAGGATAGAGGCGGTGTCCAGCGAGCCAAGGCCGCGAATTATGGCCTGAAAAAATCAAGTAAGCAGACAGTGGAAAATAGAGAGTGGTGAGTGGAGAGGCCACAGTGGAGAGTGGAGAGAGTGGTGAGTGGAGAGGCCACAGTGGAGAGTGGAGAGAGTGGTGAGTGGAGAGGCCACAGTGGAGAGTGGAGAGAGTGGTGAGTGGAGAGGCCACAGTGGAGAGTGGAGAGAGTGGTGAGTGGAGAGGCCACAGTGGAGAGTGGAGAGAGTGGTGAGTGGAGAGGCCACAGTGGAGAGTGGAGAGAGTGGTGAGTGGAGAGGCCACAGTGGAGAGTGGAGAGAGTGGTGAGTGGAGAGAGTTGTGAGTGGAGAGGCCACAGTGGAGAGTGGAGAGAGTGGTGAGTGGAGAGGCCACGGTGGAGAGTGGCGAGAGTGGTGAGTGGAGAGGCCACAGTGGAGAGTGGAGAGAGTGGTGAGTGGAGAGGCCACAGTGGAGAGTGGAGAGAGTGGTGAGTGGAGAGGCCACAGTGGAGAGTGGAGAGAGTGGTGAGTGGAGAGGCCACAGTGGAGAGTGGAGAGGGTGGTGAGTGGAGAGGCCACAGTGGAGAGTGGAGAGAGTGGTGAGTGGAGAGGCCACAGTGGAGAGTGGAGAGAGTGGTGAGTGGAGAGGCCACAGTGGAGAGTGGAGAGGGTGAGTGGAGAGGCCACAGTGGAGAGTGGAGAGGGTGGTGAGTGGAGAGGCCACAGTGGAGAGTGGAGAGAGTGGTGAGTGGAGAGGCCACAGTGGAGAGTGGAGAGAGTGGTCACAGTGGAGAGTGGAGAGAGTGGTGAGTGGAGAGGCCACAGTGGAGAGTGGAGAGAGTGGTGAGTGGAGAGGCCACAGTGGAGAGTGGAGAGAGTGGTGAGTGGAGAGGCCACAGTGGAGAGTGGAGAGAGTGGTGAGTGGAGAGGCCACAGTGGAGAGTGGAGAGAGTGGTGAGTGGAGAGGCCACAGTGGAGAGTGGAGAGAGTGGTGAGTGGAGAGGCCACAGTGGAGAGTGGAGAGTGGTGAGTGGAGAGGCCACAGTGGAGAGTGGAGAGAGTGGTGAGTGGAGAGGCCACAGTGGAGAGTGGAGAGAGTGGTGAGTGGAGAGGCCACAGTGGAGAGTGGAGAGAGTGGTCACAGTGGAGAGTGGAGAGAGTGGTGAGTGGAGAGGCCACAGTGGAGAGTGGAGAGAGTGGTGAGTGGAGAGGCCACAGTGGAGAGTGGAGAGAGTGGTGAGTGGAGAGGCCACAGTGGAGAGTGGAGAGAGTGGTGAGTGGATGGAGAGAGTGATGGTGGAGAGAGTAAGAGTGGAGAGTAGAGAGTGCAGAGAGGGGAGAGGGCAAAGTGGAGAGTGGAGAGTGCGGAATGGAGACTGCGGAGAGTGGAGAGTGGGGATTGCGGGAAGAGTGCAGAGAGAGAGTGGGAGAGTCGGGGGAATGGAAAGCTCAGAGTGGAGAGTGGAGAGTGGCAAGTGGTGGAGAGTGGAGCGTGGAGAGTGCAAAGTGGAGAGCGAACAGTGGAGAGTGAAGAGTGGAGAGAGGAGAGAGCAGAATGGACAGTGAGAGTGGAGAGTGGAGAGTGGAGAGTGGAGAGTGGAGAGTGGAGAGTGGAGTGGAGAGTGGAGAGTGGAGAGTGGAGAGTGGAGAGTGGAGAGTGGAGAGTGGAGAGTGGAGAGTGGAGAGTGGAGAGTGGAGAGTGGAGGGTGGAGAGTGGAGAGTGGAGAGTGGAGAGTGGAGAGTGGAGAGTGGAGAGTGGAGAGTGGAGAGTGGAGAGTGGAGAGTGGAGAGTGTGGAGTGGAAAGAGAGTGCAGAGAGTGGAGAGTCAAGAATGGAGAGAGTGGGGAGTGGGGAGACGGGGAGGTTGGGGAAACTGGGGAGTGGGGAGTGTGGAGAGTGGGGAGTGGGGAGTGGGGAGAGTGGCGAGGGTGGCGAGAGTGGGGAGAGTGGGGAGAGTTGGGAGTGGGAGAGTTGGGAGTGGGGAGTGGGGAGTGCAGAGTGGAGAGTGGAGAGTGGGTTTCAACAGCACAATCATTGGCTTCAAGGAATGTTGCCAGCCTCGACCATCGGGGACACGCGATTCACAATCGCATCCATCATTGCGCCTGGCCCGTCGCAATACATCGCCAAATCAAACCATGCAAAAAGAAGATCAGAGAGATTTCCGGGACATTTGGGGTTCGGCGAAACAATCAGCACCGGGCAGGAGCAATAACCAGCCAAGCAGGGCAGGGCAAGGTAACCAAACACATCAAAAAGAAGGCCCCGCTGACTGCCTTCTTTTCAAGTCAGACAGCAACAGGCCAGCGTGGGCCACAAACTCAACCGCGCCCGCGATTACTTGCAACGGCAACAGCGATGCAGTGCGGAATGCGGGTCGCGTTCATGCACAGTCAAGCAAAAACGGGACACAGAAAGCCACACAAGCCTGTGAAATTCGTCTGCGTGGCAGCTCCCACTAACCCCTGTTTCGCGCTACTAGCAGGCGCCAAGGTTGCAGAAGGTAAGCGTTCGACGTCACGACTGACTAGCTGCAAAATTAGTTGACAACACGCCTCTTTTGCGACTTGCCAGACTCCTCAAAGACTTGGCGTAAAGAACTCCTGACCCTGAAACCATAGCCACAACACGTTTACCATAGCATTTGTCCAACTACTAAGGCTGCGCAAGTGTGCATGACCCTGAAACCATAGCCACAACACGTTTACGTGCCAACTAGTGTCTCTGTGTGTGTGTGTGTGTGTCCTGTTTGCGAGGCTGCGCAAGTGTGCATGAACACGCACGTGCGCACGCGCGCCTGAACGCCCGTGCGCAGGCGTGCGCGTACGCGTGTGGGTGCACGTGCGCTCCTGTGTGTGTGTGTGTGTGTGTGTGTGTGTGTGTGTGTGTGTGTGTGTGTGTGTGTGTGTGTGTGTGTGTGTGTGTGTGTGTGTGTGTGTGTGTGTGTGTGTGTGTGTGTGTGTGTGTGTGTGTGTGTGTGTGTGTGTGTGTGTGTGTGTGTGTGTGTGTGTGTGTGTGTGTGTGTGTGTGTGTGTGTGTGTGTGTGTGTGTGTGTGTGTGTGTGTGTGTGTGTGTGTGTGTGTGTGTGTGTGTGTGTGTGTGTGTGTGTGTGTGTGTGTGTGTGTGTGTGTGTGTGTGTGTGTGTGTGTGTGTGTGTGTGTGTGTGTGTGTGTGTGTGTGTGTGTGTGTGTGTGGGGTGCGTGCGTGCGTGCGTGCGTGCGTGCGTGCGTGCGTGCGTGCGTGCGTGCGTGCGTGCGTGCGTGCGTGCGTGCGTGCGTGCGTGCGTGCGTGCGTGCGTGCGTGCGTGCGTGCGTGCGTGCGTGCGTGCGTGCGTGCGTGCGTGCGTGCGTGCGTGCGTGCGTGCGTGCGTGCGTGCGTGCGTGCGTGCGTGCGTGCGTGCGTGCGTGCGTGCGTGCGTGCGTGCGTGCGTGCGTGCGTGCGTGCGTGCGTGCGTGGTGCGTGGTGGGTGGGTGTGTGGTGTGTGTGTGGTGTGTGTGTGGTGTGTGTGTGTGTGTGTGTGTGTGTGTGTGTGTGTGTTTCTGTCTGTGTGTCTGCGTATGCATACATATAGTAAAAGGTAAATATATATGTATATATATATATATATGTGTGTGTGTGTTCGTGTCTGTTTGTGGGTGTCCGTGCGTGTCTGTCTGTCTGCGCGTGTTTCCGTGCATGTGTCTGTGTCTGTGTGTGCGTCTGTCTGTGTCTGTGTGTGTGTTTGTGTGCGTTGGTGCGTGGGTGTGTATGGTGTATGCGTCCGTGCGGGTGTGGGTGGGCCTGTGCGTGTGCGCGTGCGCGTGTGCGTGCGTGTCTGTGTAGGCACGCCGCACGCCGCACGCGAATGCTCGTGCGCGTGCGCATGCACTTGCGCGTGCGTGTGATGTGCGCGTGTGCGTGTGCGTGTGCCTGTGCCTGTGCCTGCGCCTGTGCGTACGCGTGTGCGTGTGCGTGTTCCTGTGCGTGTGCGCGTGCGTATGCGTGTGCGCGCGCGCTCTCGCGCGCGTGCGTGCGCGTGCCTGCGAGTCCGTACGCGTGCAAGCGCGTGCGTGCGTGCGCGCCTTCGGGCGTGCGGGCGTGCGGCGCGTGCGGGCGTGCGGGCGCGTGCAAGCGTGCGCGTGCGCGCGTGCGCGCGCGTGCGTGCACGTGCGCGCGCGCGCGTGCGTGCGTGTGTGCGTGCTTGCGTGCGCGCGTTCGCGCCCCGGTGCGCGCGCGCGCGCATGCGCGCGTGTTTTTGTGTGTGTGTGTGCGCGTGCGCGCGTGTGCGTGTGCGTCTGTGTGTGCGTGTGCGTGTACACGTGTGTGTACACGTGTGTGTGTGTGTGTGTGTGTTTGTGTGTTTGTGTGTTTGTGTGTTTGTGTGTTTGTGTTTGTGTGTTTGTGTGTTTGTGTGTTTGTGTGTTTGTGTGTTTGTGTGTTTGCGTGTTTGGGTGTTTGTGTGTTTGTGTGTTTGTGTGTTTGTGTGTTTGTGTGTTTGTGTGTTTGTGTGTTTGTGTGCTTGTGTGCTTGTGTGCTTGTGTGTTTGTGTGTTTGTGTGTTTGTGTGTTTGTGTGTTTGTGTGTTTGTGTGTTTGTGTGTTTGTGTGTGTGTGTTTGTGTGTTTGTGAGTTTGTGTGTTTGTGTGTTTGTGTGTTTGTGCGTTTGTGTGTTTGTGTGTTTGTGTGTTTGTGCGTTTGTGTGTGTTTGTGTGTTTGTGTGTGTGTGCGGAGTGGCAGAATACCCTGCCACCAACCTTCCCTCGTCAGCACGGGGGCAATCCCGTGAGCATAGCTGGTTGCCCAACGAAGAGGGCTATGCCACGGCTGATACAGAGTCTGATCAACTCCGCGCACCTGCATTCCGTGATACTAAATGTTTATTTGGCCCCTTGGTTGCGGCGCTGTTTGTGCTTTTTGTTCTTTCGGCTAACGTGTTCGTCACTAGAGGGAAACCGAGTGCATCGCGAGCTGAAACTTCACCTACTCGAGACTCATCGATTGCGCTCGAGACTCATCGGTTGTACTTGAAGGATTAGCTCTCTCCTTGGGAGTTGAAGTGTGATTACCCCATCTTGGGGGAACCTCGGGTGTACCCATCGTGTGACCCCGGGCCGGTTCGCCGGAAAATTTGACCTCAACGTTCTTATCATAGTCCAGCGGAACTTCACGTTTACGCAGGAACGAGGCTTCACTAAAGGGAAGTCAGCCACCTCTTCATAGGCTACGTTTCACACATGCCTGGGCGCCGCCTGCCGATTCCTTTGCGCCTTGCGTTGTGTTGATTTGAACTTGACATGATCTTGCGTTGTCATGGAATTGCATCTTGTCGGATTTAGTCTTTCTCAAGGTTGAGCTGGTCCATCAACTGGTTCGCTGAGCCGTCATGTCCCGCCGTGATGATCGTGACAGATCCAGAACTCGACGCAGACGGGACAGGAGTCCTTCTCCGACTCGCAAAGCTCGCAGACGAGATTATGACTCCGCCACGGTCTCGGGCGGCCAACCCGATGACGTGGCAGCACAATCCGAACATCAATCCCCCCAGTTCCTTTCCGCAGTCGCAGACCAGCTACCTGCAACCCCCTCCGTTGGCACAGCTCCATCCTTCGGCACCGTGCTTCCATCAGTACCCTCCGGTCAAATACACGACGCCGATCCGCCCGGAGCCGGCACCCGCCAAGAACATGAAGACGACAATGGTGCTACCTGACAACACACAAGGACGTCAACCGGAACCTGCGGCAGCAACTAGCTACCCAACTCCGTTACCATTGCAGCCTAAGAAGTCTTGGCTCACCCCACCGGAGGAGTGGCAACTCGGGGAGGGCTTGCTTGACAAGAATTCCCTTTACTCCTTCACACTGCCCATGACGGTCGCCAACACCCCGCACAATTCGCAGCAAGAGATGTCGGGCATGGACATTCGCGACGTTCGCCTGGTTCAGGTCATCCACGGCGGCATTTCGAACACGCAGACCGTTTGCACACGGAAGATTTGTCACGTGGGAAGGGTTTCGTACACGTACCGAGGCCCTGCTTTCAAATACTTGCTCAAAGCTCCTGCGCCGACCCCAGCCACTCAACTTGCTCACTTTGGAAAAGGACCTTGCAGGTTCGATGGGCCTGAACATTGACGGCTTCAATCAGCGGATCAAGGTTCATGAGCACCTGGGCAATCTCGTTCTTGAATTTCTGCATCAGCATCATCAAACCATCAAAGCCCACTCCCCGGAAGATGACACGCTGCAGAAGTGTCACAACCTCAAACGCGAACATGAGCTACTCCAAGCGCAGTACTCGGCATCACAGCGATCGTCACCTCCTTCTGCGGCCAACGCCCGCAACGGCGATGCGGAGCTGGTCACACCACCTCCGCTGAATCACTCGCAGCCTTCTACTCCCACCAGTTCCTTGCCAACGGTGAGTGCGGCCGCCCTTGGTGGCAAGTTCTACGATGTTCAATCTCAGCAACAACCACGGATCATTCAATCTCTTCACGGCATGTCGCCTCCACCTGTCAAGCAGGTCGCATCAAAGTTGCTGACAATGCACAGCACGCCGGAAGAAATCATCAAGCACTACACCTGGACCAGTGACCAACCTCGCGTTTTCCTCAAGCAGGCCCCTACAACCACCACAACACCGTCATTGATCAAGTGGGCCAATCACCCATCCCGCCTCAATGGCAACAAATCTCTGGATGCTATGGCAGTTCAACTTCAACAAGCACGTCAACGCTTGGCGAAAAGAGATGCTCCCACTTTTGCTTCCACGGCTTCTTTGTGGGGACTTGAACCTGTCTACAGCACCAAACTCACGGACAAGGCACTATGCCTGCTCATTGTGACGGCTCGACTTCTTGCCGGATGAAATGTTCCCCTCTCAGCCAGTATGAGCCCGGAGTGGCAGGCGTCGTGATTTGCGCTTGAAAACTCACATGCCATTGCCTTGTTTGCTTGTCATGACTTGCCCTTTGCCTTACATTGCATTTGTCCAATATGCATACTTGTCATCATGTGTATTTGCATGACTTGAGCATTCCCTTGAGTGTGTGCATGTTCGCTGCCACCTTATAGCCGCGGTTGAACAGTCGTGCATCATGTGGACTGAGTTTCAGCGCAGTGGAAT